TTACTCCAGCCTTATCAAATCCTAGTTTCCTTTTGAAATGTTCTAACTCTGATGGATTTTGAAATGGTTCCATTAGAGCTTTAATTGAATAATGATGTCTTTTATTCAAATCCAATAACTGCTCAAAAGATTTTTGAGTATCAATGGACCTGATATTCCAAAAGATCATTTTTTCAATCATTGATCAATGCTAGAACCCCTGTCCCTGCTGCTCATTGTTTTAACCTGTAATGGAATGACTGATTTACCTTTCCTTGCCCCATTTTTCAGACTGTTAGTATGTCTTAGAGACAAATCACCCGCCTTACTAATCTGTTGAATGCTATATTCTATGTTTTCATTCTCTTATATGCCTCTTTTATGCTGCAGTACTTCATCCTCTTCTTCTATTAAATCTGGCCCTTTAGGTATTTCACCCTCTTCATAACAATGGTCTCTCACCTCTCCATAATTAGATGCAAACAAATTTCGTGAAGTGGCATCATTTTCTCTCCCTTCCGCAGGTGAAATCCTGACATGTGTACTCTTTATCATCAACTTTTCCCCATCTACACCTTCTTGCACATTGTTAGGATCATCATGTTGCTCCCTACTCCGGACTTCACTAATTGTGCGTTCACTGCTAGTTGTCTTTACTGCCTTATTTGTATCTTTACTATTGTTGGAACCATATAATTTGTGTGGCTGCTTGTTCGAATTACTACTTTGTATTTGTTGGGACATATCCTTTGGCTATCCAATCTCCCTCTCTATCTCTTCATCTTTTGACTGCTCATTTTCTTGATTCAACCTTTGGTCATGGTTTTCAATGTCTAATAAGTTAAAATTATTACCTGTTGTAATACCCACTCTATTCCATACTTTTTGAGGCTCTTTGTTGCTTCCTCCTCCCCAATTTTTGCATCTTGGTTCCACGAAACCATCCCCTTTACGCGTATCTTCCTCTCTGCATGAATGTGTCCTTCCCTTTTCCATTATCATTGTTAGGCTGATCGTCAATCTTTTGGCCCTCTTCTTGACTTGATTTCTCCTTGTATGGGTGTAATTTTGGATGGACAACATAACACTGCTCTTCATTGTTCCCTTGAATCATACACGTCTGACAGTACTTCGGTACATAATCATATTTGATTTTGATCCACTTCTCCACTACTTCCTTATTCTGCATTCTCATTTCGATTTCAATTCGTTTAGGGAACTCCCTTAACAAATCAACCTCCACTTTTACTCTGGCACAACTTGGCCTCGTCTGATTCTTCGTAGCCATATCAACTTGTAGGGGTTTTCTCACTGCTGCTGCTAATGAAAAATCTGCTTCCTTGCCAAAAAATATTGGTGGAAGAGAGGGGAAAGAAATCCAAGCTATTGATGTTGAAGTCTCTTCTTCCGGATTAAACAAGGGATCCCACTTTAAAGTTTTCATAGGGTACGACCAATTATTTTGAGTAATGTAAAAAGCAGGCTTCGACAACAAATGAACATAATCTTCTAATAATGTCGCCCTGATCAACACATGCCTTAATAATCCGATATTGCAATCTCCCTTCAACTCGCATTGCTTCGGAATTAGTTTTCTCAAATCTTGTATATCTGGCCAAACCATATGAAAACTTTCCGATTACTGCATATTCAAGGTTTTCATTGACAATCATCTGATTCACCTCCTCTTGCTCCCATATTACTTGTGGCTCTCCATGTAGATAAGTGATTGGTTTTAATGGAATAGGTTGAAAGTGGGATGTTTTTGGTTTCAACTTTTCAGCATAAGTACCTCCAGACACAGACGTTATTAGGCCGACCTCAGGAGGAGGTTGGCCTGTGGCCGTGGCGGCCATGGTTTCTGGAGAGAAAATATTGATGACGGCGGTGGTAGGGTTTTCTTAAGGCGCTCTCCCTCCGCAAAGTAAAATAAGTCCGTTTAAACCAAGACCTTCCATTAGTAGACTCAAATACGACAAGACAAACTTTTTTGTTAGTTAATTTACTTGTTCTTAGATGTGCGAAGATTAGCTTGTAAATATTGATCTACTAATCAGAGACATTTTGATTTTTTTTTAAAAAGTCAAATATTTTATCTTTAAAATACATATGACATATCTATATACGTACTTTGTAATTATGATCATCACATTATCGAAGACTAGACTGTTGAGTTAGCTGCGTCGGTGTATTTTTTTAATCACGTTATATATAGTTTAGTGCATGTAGAAAACTAAAGATAGTAATATTCTGTTTTGGGTTTGTTGGACGTGGTGGTGGAGGGATATAAAAATGTATATAATAATACTATATAGTATATGAGAGTTGAAAGTCAAAATATGTTGAATTTTAGATTATGTAACGTTTGAATACGCAATACATGCCAACCACGCTACAGTTGGATTTTATTAACACATATACTAATGAATATTACATGCGCGTAATTTAACACTAATTTATCTTCTTAATTTGATTAATTTTTTTGTTTTTAAGTAATTAGAAATGAAAAAACTAACTTTCCCGTGAAGCATAAAGAATGGTATATTGATATTAATAAATATTATATCTGTGGTGGTCGAACTCTTCTTGATAATCAAATACTTCAAGAAGATTCACAAAATTCTTATCTTGAATATCCCATGAACTCAAGGATATTCATCAAGAGATCAAGACATCACATCTCAAAGTATTCCATAGACTCTTGTGTATTTTATAAAGACCAAGATCTTGAATATCGCATAAACTATGGGGGTATTCATAATTAAAGATCATATCAAGATGTAGTCGAATTCATTTTGATAATCAAATACTTTAAGAAATCCACATAATCCTTTCATGGAGACCAAATAAATTAAATCTCAAAGAGATCCAAATCATTCAAGTTTGAAAAATATGTCATTAACGATTCTCGAAAAGAATTAAGAAAACAAATAGATTTATACCTATATATTGTTTATAAATAAAATTATGTTTCATGAAAAAAAGAAAACCTACCGCTGACTATTTCAAAGACCCGTGAACTCTCTTAAATACTCCTAAATTAATTATTTTAAGATAATGTAATTTTTAATGCTATTTAAAAAACCACTAGATCAATCTTTGATTACTTAATTGTTCTTTGACTTAATATTCACCAAAAAGATTTTGGCACTATGCTTTGCTAGTGGTAGATAATAATACAAAACGATTGTCATTTCATTCTCTAATAAATATAAATTTATCTTCTTCCATTAGTTCTTCAGTGAATGTTTAATTTTGTCAGATTTAGACAATTAGTCAAACAAATTAAATAAACTATTAGTAATATATCAAGAAAAAAAACTCTTTAAGTTGACTTTTCAAGTTAGTTATGGTTAGCCATTATTTTTGGGAAATCATTGTCTGTTCGTGGAAAGATCATGCAACTCTATTAGCTTACAATACTACAGAACTATTAAGAGTGAAGTACAAGGAATTGAATCTTAATTATTTTAATCTTAATCATTAAGCGTGTTTGTTTTTCTTGTTTTACAACAATTTAGTAGTTGTGTACATGTCTGAATGATTAAGATCTATAAAAAAGTTTTAATATCATTAAGATGTCTATTTAAGAATTTTTACAAAGATGACAGTTCAACGCTACTATATTTACTTCCATCCACCGCTCACAAACCACCATTTTAGCTACGCTTACCACCACTGTTGATCACCATCACTAACCAGTGGCGGATCCAAGATTTTCGTTCAGGGGGTTCGAAAAATAAAAGTATAAATGTGTAAATAAGCCTTTGAAAATGGGAACCTTGAATTTTTTTGGGTTTAAAACCACACTTTTAGCACGTTTTTTAAAGTAAAAAAAACACTAAAAAAATGAAAAACAAAACTGAAAAATTAAAAAAAAAAACCAAAAAACTGAAAAAGAAAAAAATAAAATGCTTTCACTGAGATTCGAACTAGTGAAGCACAACTTAATTTCTGGGGGACTTGCCACTGCGCCATCAGCTTCTCTTTGTTATTTAGGGGGTTCAAAAAAATAAAATAAAATAAATATATATATGTATATATATCTACAGAAATATAGAAAATTTACTTTATATATACAGTGTAATTTTTTGCCGAGGGGGTTCGGGTGAACCTCTGGAGACCACGTGGGTCCGCCCCTGTTACTAACCATCCACAACTACCATCATTAGCCCAATCACAACCATCATTACCACCGATCAACAAAATCAATCGTCATCGTTTGTAATCACCACCACAACCATTATTACATCCACTATAATCACTATCGATAATTACCATTATTAGTCAACATTATATATATATATATATATATATATTGCTAACCGCCATCAAACTACCAATATCATTTCACAACTTATTATCAGTCACCACCACTAACAATCACAATTAATCACTACTACCATTCATTATACCATAAGATACTACACAACCAACATCATCAGTCAATATCATCCTAAATGATTAATTGACACACAATCACCATTGTTAGTCATCATCGCCATAAATTATACGTTATATAAAACTTTTAATAGATCAATTCAATATTTTATTTGAATTTTATATTTATTATTTTTTAAAACAATGACAAATTATATACATTCAGATCTTGAGAAAATAAACATTTTTATTATTAAGTATTCAAATCTTAATGCAATATCTTAATATTGAGATCCAAGAAGCTAAATCTTAATGAAGAAAAATGATACCTAAGCTCCTTGTAGACTTTTTTGTCATCCATATATATAAAATATTGTACCCTTTGATGATAATAATAAAAAGTACTAGTGTATAGTTTAGGAGACTTTTGAGAAGATAAACTCGATCGATACGACCCACAAATTAAGGCCAATTTTAAGTGAACAACTATTTTTATATATCATCCCACTAGGTATCACACCTTGTATCTTTGCCTATAAAAGGAAACTCTTATTGGGGATTAAGACATCGTGCCATCTTCAATTTGCTTCTTAATCATTCTTAGGCTTAAGTTCTTCACTTAATTCCTAGCTAAGAAGAGAAAATGAGAACTCAATTAGTACTAACTTGTCTTGTTTTGCTGTGTCTTGTTCTTGGTGGAGTTGCTGGGGGTGCAGCTAAGGTACCACGCAACAACTTCTATAAGAGTACTAGTTGTCCAAATGCTGAACAACTTATTAGAGATATCACTTGGAAAAAAGCTAAAAATGACGCTACCTTGGGTGCTAAATTACTTCGAGTCCACTACCATGATTGTTTCGTTAGGGTACGTACCAATTGGAATTACTACCATGCATATATATGTTAAGTATTTCCATAATAGGATTTAAGTTATGTACTGACATTATACAAATTTGTATGTAGGGGTGTGACGCATCCATATTGCTTGACAAAGTGGGAACAGTTGATTCAGAGAAGGAGGCTAGGCCAAATCTCTCATTGGGTGGTTTTGATGTGATTGATGATATCAAGCGACAAGTTGATGCTAAATGTCCTGGCAATATTGTTTCTTGTGCTGATATTTTAGCTTTATCTGCTCGTGATGCTGTTTCTTTCCCCGTAAGTAATATATAATAAATCCCCGTATTTAAAAGGAGATTCAAGAAATTCATTTATTCTTACGTTGACAGTATAAAGAATTAAAAAATCTCTTTTATAATTAAGTTATCTTTTTGCATGCATGCAGTTTAAAACTTCAATGTGGGAAGTGGAGACCGGAAGAAAAGATGGGAATGTTTCCCTTGCAAGTGATGTGAATGGAAACTTACCTTCACCATTCTCAGATTTTGCAACCCTTAAACAAATCTTTGCAAACAAAGGCCTAAATGTCACTGATCTCGTTGCATTATCAGGTAATATATATATTACTATGTGTCTTACAAACCGAACAACATAATAAATCAATTTATACTGTCAGTATATACACATTAAATCCATGATGAGTAATAATAATATACTTCATGTGTGTACGTACGTAGGTGCTCACACAATTGGTGTTTCTCATTGTGGAGCATTCTCTAGAAGACTCTTCAATTTCACTGGCAAAGGTGACATGGATCCAACTCTTAATGCTACTTATGCTGAATCATTGAAGAAATTGTGCCCAAATCCAGCCAATCCAAATACTACTGTGGAAATGGACCCTTTGAGTTCAACTTCATTTGATAGCAATTATTTCAATATCCTTATTAAGCAGAACAAAGGGTTGTTCCAATCTGATGCTGCCCTTCTCAATGACAAAGACTCAGTAATTGTCATCAAGAAATTACAAAAAGACAAGACTTTCTTTGTTGAGTTTGCAAAATCCATGCAGAAAATGGGAGCCATTCAACTTCTTACAGGAAATGCTGGAGAAATTAGGAAGAATTGTCGCGTCAGAAACTAATTCTAGAAAGAAAAATAACTATGATTATATCATATGTATGTTGTCACAAAAAGTGTACAACTTATATCTCTTTTATTTATTATGTGTTAGTAATTGTTCATGTGGTGTAAAACCTAATTTGTATTGTTATTGTTTGAACAAGAAAATTGTGGCAATAAATTAGTAATATGTTCAACTCTTTGAAGTATTGTTTAATGATCATCTACAAATTTCAAACTCCAACTTGACTGCAAGTTTGATAAAGCTATTGTAAGTTGTCTGCTTAAGATACTTATAAGTATTTGCTTGATTACAAGCTTATTAAAAAAAAAATTGTACGAACATTTACAATACAATATATTTATTACACTTTCCGTTAAATGTCATTAACAAATACATTTCTAATTAAAATCTTACTAAAAAAAATTCAATTGCAAAAAGTTACTTTTGAAACCTATGCTAACGCCTACTGGATGACTGGATCCCCTCCAGTAGGCATTCCTCCGGTTTGTTTAGTGGGCCTATAAAATTTTTATATGTGTATAGTTAAATATTTAATGGATCAAATTAATTTTATGAAAAAATTATCTAAATACACATCTTATTAATTTTATTATAATCTCTAAAATTTCTTATCATTTAAAAAAATTCAAAAATTCCCTTTCGGATACATCACTCTCCTCTTGTTGATACATCCCTATCTCCTTCTCGGATACAATCCTCCCTTTTGATACATCCCTCCCCTCTATGATACATTTCTCTCCTATGTATCCGGATGCCCTATCCCCTCTCCGATACATCAATCTAAATGTCTGCTGATATATCTGGATCCGGATTTCATAAATTTTAAGGGATTCTTATAATTTGAAAAAAAGTAGAAAAATAATGTAATTAACTCTTAATACTGTGTGATTTTTATAAATTATACTAAGATTCCGTTTGGATGGGCTTAAAAAAGTAGCTTTTAAGTCAAAAATAAAAAAGTGAAACTGAAATGACTTTAAGTCTCAGAAAATAAAAAGTACGGGATGACCTATTTTTGGTTTTTGACTTATTTTAAGTCATTTTTGACCTTGTGAAACACTTTCTAACTTATTTTAAGTTATTTTTATATTTGACCAACTTGTTAGTCAATCCAAACACGCTCTAATTTTATTGACTAAAATCTTCTGACCTCAATTAACCTCTTTATTTTCCTTCATATCTGATGGTTTATTTATCAATTTATCATATACCAAAGTACAAGCTCCGATTGCCCAATTCCGATTGTCGAAATCTAAAATCTCAAAGTTGCCAGACTAGTAAATCCTTACTTGTTTAAAAAAATTTGATCAAATATATCCTAAATAGAATATAATTGCACATATAAAATCCAACATCAAATTAAAGATTTGCTAGATTAGAAACACGTAAAATTGCACACTTATAATGACTATGTTAAAATCATCAATTTGTCCAATACTGAGGAAAATTTGAATATTTAGTAGAGCAACTTTCACATATAGCAAACACAAAATTCATATTTGTATGCTATAACAAAGTTTGCATAATTGCGCTCCATAGCAAACATAAATATGTATATTTCGCTATACATATACAAAAGAAAGCAGTTGTATAATCTGCTTTGATATACATATACAAAAAGATCAATTGTATAAAGTGAGAGAGACGAGTGAGCGAGTGAGATCTGGGAGAGTGGCGAGCGAGATTTGAGAGAGGGGAGAGAGGAAAACGAAAATATATGTATATATACAATTTTCACGCATTTTATACATTTGCGTTTTTGTATAAAGTGAGAGAGGCGAGTGAGAGAGCGAGATCTGGGAGAGTGGCGAGCGAGATTTGGGAGAGGGGAACGAAAATATATGTATATAGACAATTTTCTCTCGCTTTATACAAACACAAACACATTTTATACAATTTGCGTTTTTTGTATAAAGTGAGAGAGGCGAGTGAGAGAGCGAGATCTGGGAGAGAGGAGAGAGGGGAACGAAAATATATGTATATATACAATTTTCTCTCGCTTTAGACAAACACAAACGCACTTTATAAACTTGCGTTTGTATAAAAAAACGAGAGTGGCGAGGGAGAGAACGAGAGTGACAAGCGAGATTCACCAGGAGAGATGTGAAATAACAACAGTTTGCTATGAGGTACAATTAAATCAAACTATATTTATAGCATTTAATTTGAATTAATAGTTTGCTATTATATACAATTTTCCCTATTTAGTATGCCTATTTGGATTGTGACCCATTAACTACTTAGTGAATGGAAGCTTGTCCACAAAGGATTTCCAAAATAGAGCAAATTGAAAGTGGATTCTTTCGACGGAGAAGGTGGTTTGATTTAACTATACCAAAAATCATATTATTTTATCTGATTTGTCAAACGAGCTACATGTCATAAAAACTAATATAACAAGAACATATCAAGTGAAATTTCATAAGTGAAGAGGGTAGAGTGTACGCAAACTTTACACTACCCCATTGAGGTAATGAAAGAGATTGTTTTTGAATTCCCCTCGACTCAAGTGCAACAAATCCAAGTAAAAGAAAAAGAAAAAACAATTGAACAATCATAGCAATTAATAAGAAAAAATTTGCAGAGCCTAGATGAAAGGAACAATAGTAATAGCAAAATAATGTGATAATAAAATAACAATAAAGAAGATATGATGGTAGATATCAAAAGCAAGAACTTTATGCATACGACTAGTACTATGACATATCCGAACAAGCATAAACCTTTGAATAACTAGATAACACTCCATGCTGCCTTCTTACACACGTGGATTCCCAATAAAATAAATTTTATATGCAATAATAATTGGACAAAAAATGAATTTAAATTGTGATTTTTTTTTTTCCTTATAAAAAATGCAGAATATTAGTAGTCTATTTTTAGTCAACTTAAATTGTGTTTTTTCAAAAAGAAAAAATGCAGAACCGGTAGTGTTCTATTTTTAGCCGTGATGAGCAGCCCACAAAGAGTTCTTGCCACTGAGCCAATCACCAGATTTGTATATCTTTAACAGATTTTTATAAAATTTCGAAAAATATTAAAGAATTCTAGAGAGAATCCGTAACTTCTGCCATAAATCCGCCCTACACATCATAGAGGACTAAATTTATTGAGCTAGCTAGTTCGGTGGTTTTTTTTATCATCGAACTTTGAGAAAAGGGTCATGTTAAAAATTTGGCTCATTTATGTCATTTTCGTTTGAGAAAAAGTTTACTATGCTATTATCTGTTAATGGAAAATAGTTCCAGTTTCGCAAAATCATTTTTTACACGTGCTCAATTATGATTCGGCCGTGTCATTAATTAAATTATTTTTTAAGGAAAAAAGACTCAAATATGCCATTGAATTTTTCGAAAAAGACTCATCTATGACATCCGTTACAAGTTTGGCTTATCTATATGTCATTTCAGTTAACAAATAATGTCATGAAATTTTCTCAAATAGAAATAACATAGATGAATCAAAATTTTAACGTATAAAATAAATGAACCTTTTCTCAAAGTTCTGACATATTTGAGTTTTTTTCTTTAAAAAAATAAATTCTATAAACACGTAATTTTTAACTTTTTTTTTACTTTTACACTGATGTCAAATGTTATTTTTACTTATAATGTTAATATTTTGACTTTTATTTAGTCTTTAATATATTTTATTTGAGAAATCGAAAATTTACAAAAAAAATAAATAAATCATATCTTGGATTACCAATTCTGTTTCGTTTTCAAAAAGAAAGAGATATTTTTTCTTTTTAAAAAAAAATTCTAGTCTAAAATATTTTGCTAGTATTTTCTGTTTCTTTATTTTAAAAAAGAAAATAAATAAAAAGATCAAAACCAATGAGGATTTGCCTATTTTTTTTCTATCCAAATCAACAACATATTATTCCTTAATTTTATCCCCAAATCACTCACTTTTGTTTAATACATTGGGCTTTTTGAGAAGTTAACCATGAAAGTCGCTCCTCTCCGGTACTTCATCCATCTAGTTTGTTCAGTGCATAATTAATTTTAAAATTACGTAGTAAAACAAATATATATAATAATATGTATTTACTATACACCCTTATAATTAATTTGAAATATATGTCATTCACAACCTTATAAATATAGTTATACTAATGCCTTCTCTCTCTTTAGTTTTCCCCCCTCAAAGTTAACCCCTTATGGATGTGATGTGTTATTCATCAATTAAAGTTAAATTTACATTTGAAACCTACGAAGAAGTATAATTAAGGTTAACTATTTTATTTTTAAAATGGTGAGGTCGAAATAAAAGGATGTTATGCAAAAGCCAATATCAATAAAAAAAATATAGCAGTGATAAATTAGACGACCAAAACAATTATACTAAAAAACATATTATTTGATATAATTTGTTAAATGACCTATATATTATAAAAATTAATATAATAACAATAACATATCTAATAAAATTTTACAAGTGAGGTTTGAAGATGATAGAGTGTATGTAGTCCTTACCACTATCTCGTGGAGGTAAAAATATTGTTTCCAAAATATCTTTGGCTCAAGTGCAACAAATCTAATTAAGTAAAAGAAGAAGAAAACTATGAAGCAATCATAACAACTAATAAGGAAAGCATTGTGAAATCTACGTGAAAGGAACAATAGCAAAATAATATGATAATAAAAAAATAATAAATAACAAATAATGATAAATATCACAAGCAAGAATTATATGCATGCGACTAGCAGTGGCGGAGCCACCTTATAGATAGGGGTTCATTCAAACCCCCTCGACGGAAAATTATATTATTTATACATGGTTAAAATAATTTTTTTAGATATATATAGTAGGTGTCAAACTCCCTTCGGCTACTTCGTGTGTCTATTTCTTTGAATGTTGATTCCTCTTGTTGAAAATTCTGGCTCCGCAACTGACTACTAGTACTATAACACAACCAAACAAGCCCAAACCTTCGAACAACCATGCAATACTGCCTCCTAACATATATAATACATGGGTTGCCAATAAGACAAATTTTATATGCGATAATAATTGGACAAAAAATGAATAACCAACTAACACATAACCATTATGAAGACAACAAACAATATTTTAAAAATATAATTTAACAGAATCAACCATGAAAATTTTAATTTCAGGTGACCACATAGAATAAGAAAAACTAGAATAAATAACACAAATAATACAAAATATATAAGAGGAAAAAAGAAAGGAAAAACACTCAAAAATATAGAAAATTCGCTACTTTGCAATGGCCACCAAACAATATTAGAATTCAAAGCCCTAAGTTTGTTTTTCTTAATTTCAAAGTTGATTTGAAATATTAAAATTTGGGTAAAGTTAATATTTTATTAGTGGCCTATTTTTAATTAACTTGATTTGTGTTTCTTTTTTTTTTAAAAAGGAAAATGCTAGTAGTCTATATTTAGTAAGCTTAAATTGTGTTTTTTTTTCTTAAAAAAAAAAGACAAACTGTTAGTAGTTTAATTTTTAGTGGACTTAAATCGTATTTTTTTTTCAAAAAAAAAAAAAAAGAGACGAAATGTAGAGCTTTTTATTTGGAGATTTATTTGGAAGCCTGTTAAAACGGAAGTGAGCACAGATAAAAGGATCCCACTTTCCCGCATCCCTCTCCCCGTAAGCAGAATATCAGAGATACGATCATGTGGGTCTTGTCCAGCAGCCTCGGGCTTTGCCACCCATAACTTTTTCCATAAATCCGGTCCTGCACATTATAGAGTATGTTTTTAAAGAAGCATTTTAATTCTTTACTAAGATGTTAAAAATGTAAATTGTAAAACATCGTTTGATTTTAAACATTTAATAGGAGTGTTTGCATATATTTTGCCGTATCTAGAATCTATGTTATATTTATATTTGAAAAATATTATAATATATATATATATATATATATATTCAACATATTGTTAATATATAAAATATATTTACTTCGGTTCAATTTGGGAATCTTTCAGTTTTTATTATAAATTAAAAAGATTATCCCAATTGTTCAGGACGATTATACACTTAAATAAAAATCCACAATTTTATTTAAAAAATGATATAAATCAATTTAGTGCGATTAGATTCAATCGGTTCAATTGATTTTTATATTCTTTTAACACCCCTAATTAGACTTACCTACCTCTCACTATTGTAAGACTCATGGAACTCCCTTAAATAATACTCCTAAATTAATTATTTTCCTACATTATTCCCTCCAAAACATATACTAATTTTTAAGATAATCTAAATTTTAATGCAATTTAAAACTACTAGATCAATTGGATTACTTTTTCTTTGACTTTGAAATTCAGGGAATATTTTGGCAATATGCTTTGCTAGTTGTAGAAAGTACTTATAAATACAAAACAATAACCATTTCATTCTCTAATTAATAAGTTTATCTTCTATACGAGCTCTTTATCAGTGAAGGTTTTATCTGATTAGTCAAACAATAAATTACTAGTAATATATCATTCATAGTCAGTATATGGTCCAAAGGAGGAAAATATTTTTTTTTTTAAATGTCATTTAGATGACCTTTAAATTAATTATGGTTAGCCATTACTTTGGGGAAATGATGGTTGTCACGTTCTTCAATTAATATTCTGTTTCGAAAGACATCATCTTCATGGAAAGAAGGCATAAAGTGAAATTTTAGTTGGAGAACTGAAATTTAAATAAATTTTTATGTGTACTTTTTTTAGATGTAAATTATAACTTAATATTTTTTATAAAGGAAAAGGGGTCTGATATATCCCTAACTTTATTATTTAAAGTTGATATATCACTCATTGCAAAGTGTTTCATATATACTTATGTCTAGGGGTGTCAAATGAGCAGGTTGAGTTGAAATTAGAGATATTAAAATGGATTGATATAGAAATTGGATTGGGTCTTCACCCGCCCAAATTTACTTTGGGCTCAAAGGGCTAAAAATCGGGTTGGGTCATGAGTATGACCCATCCAATTTGACCCACTTAATCTCAATAATTTTAACATATTGTTATTCAACTTTTATCACCACAATTAGAATTTTAACTCAAGATTTTTTTAAAAAAAGTTACAAACAGATAGACAAATTCTAAAAGATATAAAATAGATAGTAATTTATAGGAACATACATTACATTGATCCAATTGAATCCAATTCAAATTATCTTGAGCTCAACCCTTTAAATTTTGGACAGGTTACCTATATTTGAGTTCATTTTTGACACCTCTACTCCTATCGTTATAAGAGTGACTTACATATACCCCTATCGTTAACAACAATGACTCACACACTCTTTTCAACTAACATAAGTGAAAAAAATTAGTTTACAAATATTTTTTTTGATTTTTTATTTTAAAAAAATCCACGTAGGGGTATATATGATCCTTCTAACAAAGTTACACATGAATTATTTTTTGAGTTTCTTATTCTTATTTATTTTTTCTTTCATTATGATACGAGAAATTAAAAGAAAGAAATATGAATGAAAAAAGAGTAAGAAAAAAATCTAAAATTATTTTTTTGAGGCTATTGTAATTTAGTTTTTATATCTCTAAATTTTATTTGGGGGCATCTATAAAAGAAATTACAAGAAAATTAGTTAAAACAAATAATTGGACCATCAAATTAATAAATCTAGATTAGTCATTGAGTCAAAAAAGTAAAAAAAAATTACGTTTGAGAGATATTAAATATACCCTTACATGATATTTAAAAAAAAATTAAATTAACTTTTTCACTTTCGTTTGAAGAAAATGATATATGTGAATCATTATGTAATAGTAAGGATATATATGATCCATTTTCATAAGGAGATGTATATCAACTCTAAATGACAAAGTTGACAGGTATAACAACCCATTTTCCCTCTTACAAATGTTTCTTTGAATATTTTTTTCAATTGTTAGTTTTAGGTAAGATTTTATTAATTCAATATTGAAAAACATCATTCTATTGAGACAATCATTATATGAATTGTTAACGTAATTACTATATTCTATAAGTAATAAGTTGACAATATTTAGATAAAAATATGAGTTAGAACCATAGAATTTGATTTAAGAAGTTGTAACTAGAAATACCATAAAAATATGAGTTAGAACCATAAAATTTCACCAAGTGATCATTTAGTGCGCTCAATTTCATTTACTTAATAATAATTTTTTATAATCATACAAATGTCTTGCATGACTAGTTAAATTAAATATGTTGGCAATAAGCTCAACGTGCTAACCATATGGCCGGTGACTTCCAAGTATAGTAGTGTATATTTTAGGAGACTTTTGAGAAGATAATTAAGCTCCACACGACTCATTGAACAATTATTTTTATATATCTTTCATTGCCTATAAAAGGAAACTCTTCTTGAGGATAAAACCATTGTGCCTTAAGCAATTTGCTTTTTTCATCATCTTCATTGCTATTCTTAGGCTTAAGTCCTTCACATTCCTAGCTAAGCAAAGAAAATGACAACTCAATTTGTACTAACTTGTCTTGTTTTTATGTGTCTTGTTCTTGGTGGAGTTGCTTGGGATACAAGGAATGAAGACTATTCAAGAAATGAAGACGGTGCAAGGAACGAAGACTATTCAAGAAATGCTTGGGGTGCAAGGAACAAAGACGGTGAAAGGAATGCTTGGGGTGCAAGGAACGAAGACGGGGAAAAGAATGAAGACGGTGCAAGGAATGCTTGGGGTGCAAGCAATGCTTGGGATGCAATTAAGAATGTTTGGGGTGCAAGGAACTCAAATGCACCACGAAAGAACTACTATCAAAGCACTCATTGTCCAAATGTTGAACAACTTATTAGAGATATCACTTGGAGCAAAGTTGCAAAAGATGCTACCTTAGGTGCTAAATTGCTTCGAATCCACTACCATGATTGTTTCGTTAGGGTATGTACTAATTAGAATTACAATGCCATGCACACATACATTATTTCGTAATAGAATCTAAGTTATGTACACTGACTGATTAAAAAGAATATTTACTAGAGTAGTCATGACATGATGTTACGTTAATTTATGACCTGACATTATGCAAATTTATAAATAGGGGTGTGACGCATCCATATTGCTGGACAAAGTTGGTTCAGATGATTCAGAGAAGGAGGCTAGGCCAAATCTCTCTTTGGGTGGTTTCGATGTAATTGATGATATCAAGCGAGAAGTTGAGGCTAAATGTCCTGGCGTTGTTTCTTGTGCTGACATTTTAGCTTTAGTTGCTCGTGATGCTATTTCTTATCCTGTAAGTAATTACATCTCCATATATGTACATAACTTTGTGATGTTGTTTCTTATCACGTAAGTAAATACATCTCCATATATGTACATAACTTGTCCATGTGTTCAAAGGGCAGTCTATTCTTGAAGTTATGAGTTCAGTAAAATTCAATAGCTATTTTTATTAAGAAAATCCACTTAATATATAAAAATAATTATTGCGACTCTAATAATTACTCTTTGCATGCAGTTTAAAGCTTTAATGTGGGAAGTGGAGACTGGAAGAAAAGATGGGTTTGTTTCCCTTGCAAGTGATGTGAACGGAAACTTACCTTCACCATTCTCAGATTTTGCAACCCTTAAGCAAATCTTTGCAAACAAAGGCCTAAATGTCGATGACCTCGTTGCATTATCAGGTAAATATTATACGTGTCTTACAAAGCGAACAATATCATGAATCAATTTTATATAAACTGTTAGTGTATACAAGTTAAATCCATGAGTACTATAATAAACTTGATCCATGCATACTTGTAGGTGCTCACACAATTGGTGTTGCTCATTGTGGAGCATTCTCAAGGAGACTCTTCAATTTCACTGGCAAAGGTGACATGGATCCATCTCTCAATGCTACTTATACTGAATCATTGAAGAAATTGTGCCCAAATCCAGCCAATCCAAGTACTACTGTGGAAATGGACCCTATGAGCTCAACTTCATTTGATAGCAATTATTTCAACATTCTTATTAATCAAAACAAAGGGTTGTTCCAATCTGATGCTGCCCTTCTCAATGACAAAGACTCAGTAATTGTCATCAAGAAATTGCAAAAAAATAACACTTTCTTTTTCGAGTTTGCGAGATCCATGCAGAAAATGGGAGCCATTGAACTTCTTACAGGAAATGCTGGAGAAATCAGGAAGAATTGTCGCGTCAAAAACTAATTCAAGAAAAAACCTATGGTTATATCATATGTATATGTTGTCGCAAAAGTGTACAACATGAGTCTCTGTTATTTATTTATTTTGTTCTTTAATCTTCCGTAATTTTGTGTGGTGATTCCAAATTAACTAACTTTATGTAAGTTAATTTATATGGTTATTGTTTGAAAAAGAAAATTGTGGCAATTAATATTTAACTATTTGATGTATTGCTTAATGACTGTCTACAACTTTCAAAGTCCAAGTTTAATGGTGACTTCAGGATATTAACAGCAAATTAATAAAGAAGGCTAAAATGGGAGGCAATATATATATATAGCTAGTAGCCCCAAAATATCTGCGACACGCCAGCTTAAGATATATAAGAACTCTCACGTACATCGACAAAACATAGGAGAGATGTCGTGTATATAAGTAAGTAGACCTTACCAACTAGCGATGCATAAATAGCCTTACACAAATGATTAACATGTGAGGGATGAGATGCATTCTCAAATCCAGGTGGTTATTTTCATAAAAAATTCTTCTTCAAGTGTGCCTTGTAAAAAGGCATTATTGATGTCCAATTGATGTAAAACCTAATTGTGTCGAACTGCAAGTGAAAAAACAAACAAAATTCTGAAAAATTACCATGTTTGTATATTAGCAAGCGAAATATACAAAACAAAATTCTGAAAAATTCCGAAATGTATAAATACAGAATTTGTATATATTTACCCTATGTGTATATTATCAAGCAATATATACAAACGGGAAAGTGAAATCTACAAACCGCACGAAATATACAAATCAGGGCCTCCATAGCGAATGAAACTATAGCTATGGAGCGCAAGTGTTGAAACTATAGCTATAAAGACTTATTTTATCTATTATGTTTGCTATTTCTAAAATTTACTCTAATTTAAATACTAGAAAGCCTCTTAACATAGATTTCTTTGAAGTTACTCATGAATTAGCAAAAATGATTTTAAGTACTCGAGAGTTTTCCTTTAAAAGACTATTATTATTTCAAAACTTAAAAACAAGAGAGAAACATTATGAAATTCCTTTGTAGTACAATGTTGTATGATTTAAATGTCATTTTAGAACTCTATCAATATTCAACCTTGTAAAATTGCTACTAATGTATGACAATTAATGAACTAGAATTTAGGATTCTGGTGCTGGAGCTTAAAAAAGATCAATGACTTGATCTGAACAACAATGCATATTGTAGGGTAATAATGAATGGACGTAGCATATTACAACAGAAGGAGTCAATTATTACAATTGATATGAAGTCATACTTACAATACTCCAAATTTTAGGACAAAATTTACTAGGGCTTCTCAAGTGTGTATATATATATATATATATATATCATTGGCCAATTTGTTTTTTAATTAAAAAGGTCGTGTGCATATGTACGTATTGATATTTTATAAATTACTGTTTCCTTCGTTTTATATTTAGTTGTCCAATTTTCTTTTTATACATCTCTTAAGAATTTAATAATAAGAAATATAATTTTACTAATTTACCTCTTAAAAGACTTTCTTTGAACTTTAATTTACAAATTTATTGTTTATACTTTCAAAACAAAAAATAAATTTGTGAAGGTAAAATAGAGAAAATGAAATTAATTTTTTTGTTGATTTTATAAATTGGCAAGTAAATTGGAATAAATATATTCTCAAGTAAAATGGACAGCTCAGGATAGAGTGAGTACTAGATTAATTAATTGTTTTAATTTTTTAAATTATTTTTATTGGAAAAGTAATGAGTTCTAGAACTTTCCTTTTAATTACCTTGCCATAATATTCCTTATCTTAATAAACTAAGAATATTATGTTGACTTTGTAAATCAGAATTATTAAACTTTTAAAAAAAAAAAACAACTTTTGGTCAATATAATCTTTTGCTTTCCATATTACTACTACAAGTTTGGAAAGTAATTTAAATCCTAATGCACTATAAAAGACCAAGTTAGCCCTCATGTACTGAAATAATTCATTCATAGCTCTCTCTATTTTCTTTGTCATGTCTTCAGAAAAGTTCATAACTCTCAAGACTAGCGATGGCGAGGAATTCAAACTTGATGAGACTGTAGCTGTGAGGTCAGAAGTCATCAAGAATATAGTACAAGACCAAATTTTATAAATCAAAATTTTGTTTTTATCTGATTCATGATTGTATAAAATCCTAATATGTATTTTCTGACACATGTTAATTTTATACGATTTATAAAAAAAAAATCAAAATAAATTACCTTGTTTGTATATTAGCAAGCGAAATATACAAACAGAGTTCTGAAAAATTTCTAAATGTAATGTGTATATTCTTTAGCAATATATACAAACGGGCAAGTGAAATATACAAACCGCGTGAAATATACAACCAGGGCCTCCATAGCGAATGAAACTATAGCTATGTAGCGCAACTATTGAAACTATAGCTATAAAGACTTATTTTGTCTATTATGTTTGCTATTTCTAAAATCTACTCTAATTTAAATACTAGAAAACCACTTAACATAGATTTTCTTTGAAGTTACTCATAAAACAGCAAAAATGATTCTAAGTACTCAAAAATCCTCCTTTAAAAGACTGCTATTATTTCAAAACTTAAAAACAAGAGGAAACATTATGAAATTTCTTTGTAGTACAATGTTATATGATTTAAATGTCATTTTAGAACACTACCAATTGTCAACCTTGAAAAAATGATCCTAATGTATGACAATTGATGAACTAGGGTTTAGGTTTCTGGGGCTGGAGCTTAAAAAGGATTAATGACTTGATCTGCACAACAGTGCATATTGCAGGGTAATAATGGATGGCCGTCACATATTACAACAGAAGAAGTCAACTATTACAATTGCTATGAAGTCATACTTACAATACTTCAAATTTTAGGACAAAATTTACAAGGACTTCTCAAGTATATATATGTCATTGGCCAAAAATTTTATTAATTAAAAAGGTTGTATGTATATGTACTATTGATATTTTATAAATTACTGTTTCCTCCTTATATTAGTTTCCCACATTTCTTTATATACATCTCTTAAGAATTTAATAATAAGAAATATAATTTTACTAATTTACCTCTTAAAAGACTTTCTTTGAACTTTACAAATTTATAGTTTATACTTTCAAAAAAAAATTGTGAAGGTAAAACAGAGAAAATGAAATTAATTTATTGTTGATATTATAAATTGGCAAGTAAATTGGAATAAAATATTCTTAAATAAAATGAACTATGACAGGTATAGAGTGAGTACTAGATTAATTAATTGTTTTACTTTTTAAATTATTTTTATTGCAAAAGTAATGAGTTCTAGAACTTTCCTTTTAATTAACTTGCCATAATATTCCTTATCTTAATAATCTAAGACTATTATGTTGACTTTGTAAATCGGATTTATTAAACTTTTTTTAAAAAAGAAAAATAACAACTTTTGGTCAATATAATATTTTGCTTTCCGTGTTACTACTACAAGTTTGGAAAGTAACTTAAATCTTAATGCACTATAAAATACCAAGCTAGTCCTCATGTACTGAAATCATTCATTCATTGCTCTCTCCATTTTCTTTGTCATGTCTTCAGAAAAGTTCATAACTCTCAAGACTAGCGATGGCGAGGAATTCAAATTCGATGAGACTATAGCTGTGATGTCAGAAATCATCAAGAATATAGTACAAGACCAGGATTGTGCTTCTAATGTCATCCCCTTGTCTAATGTTGATGGAAAAATAATGACGAAAGTGATTGAGTATTGGAAGAAACACTCGGAGAAAGGTGTTTCGGAAAATCAATTAAAGAATTTTGACAAGAATTTCTTGAAGGTTCACTCATCTGTATTAATTGATGTTCTTTTAGCTGCTAAAAATCTTGACGATAAGGAATTGAGGGATGTGATGAGCCAAGAAGTTGCTGATAAGATCACAGGGAAAACACCAAAGGAAATACGTGAAGAATTTGATATCGTGAATGATTATACTCCAGAGGAAGAGGGGGAGGTCCGTAGAGAGAATGCTTGGGCTTTTGAATGATTTTATAACATTTATGTTATTTCCTTAGCTATATCCTATTTTTGATTATTATTTTTATTTCTGTCATTGCTATCCTATGTTGTTCCTTTCTAAAGAAATGTTGTTCGGTTTTGATTGATTTATAAATTATGTTTGAAAGAAATTCAAGCTAATTATATTTTTCGATAAAGACATGCATCAAATGGTGGAAACATAATTTGATATCTCAAAAAGAAATATCTAAATCCGTTCTTTCAATAATTTTAACTTATGTCATTTCAAAGCATATCCAATAGACTTGATATATTTTCTTAATAAATCGTCATACTTTATAGGGAAAATTGTGCAGAATAGTAAATGTTTAAACGCTATTAAATGTTATAGCTACTATTATTTTTTAAAAATGATTAGCCATCATAGTTTCCATAAATCTTGCTATTTGTTTAAATTGTATAATTCGTCCAAATTTGTATAATTCGTCTAATTGTATCAATCAATTTTTTGTATAATATGATTCCTGATTGTAATGACCTGGAAGGTCATTTTTGGAAATTTGGATTATTCGTTTAACTTGTGTTAATTAAATGATTGAGTTTTAGGCTGACTTGTCTTGGTGGGATAAGACGAGTGTCATCACATCCATTTTTGGGTTGTGACAAAATGGTATCAAAAGCCCCAGGTTCATAGGTCTCACGTGTATACAAACCGAGTTTATGTAGAGTCTCAAGGATCGATACGGAGACATCTGTACTTATCTCTAAGAGGCTATGAATACTATTAGGAAATTTTCTTTTTGTTCATTCTTTCTCATCGTGCGTTGTTACCATCTTTAGTACTGAGCTATCGTATATTATTTTTGATAGATGACGAGGACTAGAGCTATTGTTACTGGTGGTAGAGGGGAAGCACTTCCCGATATAGTTGTTGAGGCCCCAGCTAGGGTTAGGGGTAGATCTCGAGCTAGAGGTCGTGCTTATGGAATGGCACTAGCCAGAGGTCGTGCCCGTGGAGCAGTACCAATGAGGGGCCGTGCCAGAGAGGATCAGGATTCCTCCAGAGACTGCAACCACACTTTTGCTTTAGGATACATTATTGAGGGTGTTAAGTGTGCTTGAGAGCTTTACTCAGCGTGGTGGCGCGACCGCCACACCATAGAA